TTTAACTTGCAGATCCATTTATTTTTTCAGTTGGAGGGTTGTATATAAAATACAAAGTCTGTAACTTCACTTCATGATTGCAGCGTCTCATCCTACTGTGTTCAGAACAGAGTAAATGCTGCTCACTGAGAGAGAGAACTACTGAAAGAGAAGCAGCCTACTATGCTTAATTACTGTTTTACAAGAGAATTTAAGGTTTGCTTATATAGCTTTATCTTTTAGTCATCATGTTTATCCATTCTGAAAACAAATTCCCAAACCTCCTGGAATGTAGCTCTCTCTGTCCAGGATGACAGCTTTGTGTGACGGTTACATGCTACAGAATAAGTAAACCCTTGACCAAGTGGTGTTACTATGGGGCAAAACAATTTTTATAGGAACCAGCCCTGGGCCCTGCAATATACTTATCTTCAGAATGTCTGAGATGTAACTACCTCCACAACAAATTTCAGGTTTTTCTTTCAACTTCACTCTATCTTCTCCCAAAAACTGTATCAACCCTCCCATCACTCCTACAAATGAAAATCTTCACAATCAACAAGATGGGAATGAAGACAGAGGTGATTCCACTCTCCCACCACTGACATTTTGGGGATGATCACATACTGCAGATAGAGAGGCCATATATACCCAAATTCTTGATACAATAAAAAAAAGTCCTTGTCCATGGCAAGGTGGAGAGGATACAAGATACACTTGGAACTTCTACATTACTCTTTACAAGAAGTGCATGTCAGAAGCTGATAGTTAGCCAAGAGAAATTTTAGGAGAGACTTTCATACAATTCCATGTTTTAAACACATCAAAGGCTTCTTTCCTTATTTCCACTGTCTTTTGTTGTTGTTTTTTAAAAGAAGCTGTTTATTGAACCTTGGCATCTGTGACCTTTCTAAGCTTCTGCCCTGGCAGATGGCACAAGCCATGTTTTCTGGAGGGCTTAGCGGGCCATTTCACAGTTTCTGAAATAGCTGATATGCTTTATTGAATACAAGCCAAAATATGATTTATACTCCTGCTTGGTGGGTGAAAAAGTCTCTACAGATATCATACAGTAACTACTTCATCATCTACAGGGATGTAAGTTGTTGTATGAAAACATGCATAAAGGTGAGGAAGGACACCATTTTAAAAGCACAGACTTGATATCCAGACAGAAGAATGAGATTTAGTGACTGAGGTTATAATACCCTTAGCATTGCCATGGCATTAGAGACGCTGTGAGATCTTCAGAAATGGCCATTGTGCAAGTGAATAGCTGAGTCATACTAAAACTATAATTAACGGGGATAGTTGTGATTATGAGCACAGGAGTGACTGATTTTGTTAGCTGCTATTTGACATCCTTACATCGCTGTGCCTTCTATAATGTCATAAGCAAACTTGCCTTTCCTTATAATTTCATGTGTCCAGAGATCTTGCAGTTTTGAGAAGAGACCTTTTAGGCTACTACGGATTGTAAAGATAACAGCAGCAGCTCAAACATCATAAAATAACTGAAGTATTTACTATGAAATAACAAAAACATTTTTCAGCAGTGTTCTTAGAAAAATTCACAGCTAAGTGTCCAACATATTTACCAGAAAGTGATATTATGAGGAATTATGAAGAAGGTAAGAAGTAAGTAACAAAGGTAATACAGCTCATGGGTAGTCTAAGATCAAGAATGAGATCGTCACTAAATCCAGCTGTAGCTATATTGTAAACAGTTGTATTCAGTATAGTGAATTTCAAAATAAGCTTTGTAAACAAAAAGACTGTAATCCACAAAATTCCTAAATTTTTTCATGAATAGGTGGACTTTTTTTTTAATATGTATTTTCTACGGAGACAAAAGTCAAGAGTTTTGATACACTAAGACTTTGTATTTTATTGCACTTGCCAGCTTCCAAATTTATGCTGCAAAACTCCCTACTAGAGGACTTCAGGCCTAATATATCAATTTCTTTGTTAATGAATGAACATTCAGGAATCAGACACAAGTAAAATTACTCTGTGTTTCATTTGGAAAGCCTGAGGTAAGAAGGAGAGCGATCTGAATGTAAGATGCCAAATCTTACATCTGTTCTGAGCAAGCATTAAATCAAAATAAGAACCAAGTGATTAAGCATCAGCTTCATGAAACCCTTTGATATAAAGGCAGGGAAAAACAGTTTCAGAAAGAAATGAAAATAAGATGGCCAATCAAGCCACCAGCACACAATGCACGGAGAAGTACAGGGTTATCAATAATCACAAGTAAAGACATTTTGCTCTAAGATACAAAACGGATTTTTCCTACTGAAGGAAGCAAATATCTGTTTATGAGACAATAATGAACTTTTTAATGGTGTTTCTAATCATTTGCTTTAATAGTATTTAATTTCATGCCAGAGGGGTGCATTTGGTGAAAGCCTTGTACTCTGGAGAACCATAAAAGGAAAAGCTCAAGTATGCTCAGTTTTCATACAAACCCAAACTGGCCTTATAACCATCTCTTTCTTAACATCAAACTACGGAATTCAAGCAGTAACATCAGATTCAGCATAAATCCTTCCTGGAAAATTATTTGCATACTTCTGAATTTAATTATAAAGTCTGTGAATAGAAGACTGTTCCCTATATAACTACTAGCATGTGTTTTTTTGTTCTCTTGAGGAGGTAAAATTTAGCTTTTCACATGTTGTAAGGAAACAAAAGGCAATCATTTGTTACAATTAAGCTTTAAAATTTATTACACCAGTAACCAATGCAGATTAAAGGAAGACTAAGAATTTTACCTATAAATATGTGTTTTAATTAGGAATTTGCATCATTAAATTTAATAAATTGTGTAAAAGCCTATTTATTTTCTTAAAAAAAAATACAGTGCATTCTTATAGAAGTTTATTTCCTTGATCATTTTTCATTCAACTTTTTCCTTTGGGACTGTTTTTGGCCAACCATTATGGTGTCACTTAATTCCTACTCCACTGCATTACGGTTCTGGTTTGTTTCTGAGGAAAGATTCCTTACTTTCTGTTCACAGGAAAAAATAATTATTAAGAATAGGCAGCCTCTTTTTATAACACAGTGTCACCAAGTAAAGACATTACGTGGCAGATTATAAAAATCATGCTGATGATTGAAAGTTTGCCATCAGTAGCCTGAGTTTGAGAGGCACTGGATAATTTCTCTGCAAGTCAGAACTGACTTTCATTGCTCATTCACATCAGAGGTCTTCTAGATGCCAGACACACAAAAAAAGCAGTCCCGCAACCCAGCTGTTACAAGTCGTTGTCTCTCAGGCTGTGAACTTCAGCCAAGGAAGATACAGACAACTTGTTAATTACTCAGGAAATGTGATAGGGCTTATTGATAAGGCAATTAATTCTAGAAAGCTTCAACTGGCTGGAATGTAAAAGTATCACTTTGAAAAATATAGTATTGATTCAATGCTTTTCAAATATATTTGTGACAAATGACAACATATTTAATGTCTGTAATGTCAATCAGTAACAAAAAGAACAGGGTACCAAGAAATATTGTGCTTAAGAGGAAAAAAAACCCCAAACAAACCCACTTATCAAGGTAAAATGAAATTTTTTTCAACGTTTTGAATTCTAATTAAGACCATGTCAAGAACAGGGTAGAAAGACTGACTGCTTCAATGATACCACAGAAGATCTGGATTCATTTCCCAGCTGTGTAACTCACTCTCTGAAGACTTCAGTGCTTACACCTGTCCTGGGAGCTATGACATTTCTTCCCTTGCTAAAAATCTTCACAACAGCTCGGACCAAAAACTACAGACAGAGCCCAACTTAACTTTACAAAGCAGATAGAATGGGCAGCTGTCACTGCAGATAAGTCATGATCACATCTGAGACTTGTTTCATAATGTATTCAAATCCAAAAATACATCTCATTTTTCAGGTTTGATATAAAAGAAGAATGAAAACACACCATATGTAGAAACTTTCCAAAAATACTGGGTTACAAATAAACATCGCTGTCAAGATTTAGAAAGAGTTGGAACTTTAAAGAAGTATTATTTAAACATTGCTTCTGTCTGGCTATTCCATTTATTTTTTTCTTTTATTTGGAAAAAGTTCACTCATGTTAAATAGCTAATCTCATCTTCCAGTCGTCTTCTTTCATGAACAAAGAAGAAATGTGTTTTAAACTTGTCCAAGCAATTTTATCATTTCAGGCATAGTGCTGTTTTACACTTATTAGCAACTTATTAGAGTGCATCAATCTTGTCCTCAGATATTTACACCATAACACTAAAAAGATGAGTGAGGCTGGCCAAGAAAATGACAAAAGAGGCCCTCAAAAATAAAACTTTCATATTGTCCTATGGATCACAACCTAAAATGTGGTAGGTGTTAGAAAAAAGGAGTATTTTTAACATGAAGCAATCACAGTTGTCCAGAATAAGCTCTCCGTTTAGCTGGGCAATCACAGATTTTAATTACTGTATTTTTACAGAGATAATTCCATAAGGGCATGCTTTGTAACAACAACCGATCAACCTCCATAAAAGATATACTACTGTAAATCAGTGATGGAACAAAGACCTTAGTTCTACCCAACATGCAGCAAGAGTATGTGTAGAACAACCCTTCTCTTACAAACTAAGCTAACCAGAAACTGAACTTCAGTATGAGCTCTGCATCCTCCTTGCTTTTCTCAGTATACCTGCAACATGACGCTAGACAGCAGTGCACTGTAGGACTACATAACTCTGTCCTTACAAACAGGAGGACACTGGGTTGGAATCCCCCACAAAGAAATAAATTCTTTACTATGGCTTAGATATTTCCTTTCATTAAAACAGAGGGCCTGCTGCAGGAGAAACACACTAATTGACAGAACTTAGCTATGACACTGGTCAAACCCTCTTCCTCCCATTCCCACCCCAAACCCCATTCTTTCAGCAGAAAGCATCACCTTCTACTTCAACTGCCATGTAATTTCCACTGTTAAAAATATGGCAGGTTCGCCATCATACAAAAGTATAAAAGAAACAAGGAACATACGATGGACATAGATATTGCTTCTTTTTCCCCTTTCCTTTCTTTGAAGACTTCTCTTTGGAATAGACTTCTTCAACCCATAAGGAGAACAAGATGAAAAGGAAAACTGCTGGTAAGAACTTCATCTTGAAGATTAAGCTTCAGAGAAACCACCTGTCTGCGGCAAAAGAAAAGAAAGAGGTTCATGTTAGTAGGGCTAGATATGGAAAATGGGAAACAAGAGACTTTCAAAAAGGAAACAAATGCGTTTGGGTTTGTTTTTTCTTTTAAGTCTGATCTCAGTTGCACTGGAAGAGACCGTCTGTTGAGGAACCAACTTAGGCAATTTTCTGAGAGTCAAGTAGCTTAGCAAAGTTAGGTGACTGACAGTGAGGAACAGATTAAAGTACAAGTTTGCTTTGGTGAGTTTAAGAAATAAACATGATGCCCTTCAAAGCCTGCCTAACTCAAAATCCTCAGAAACTTGGAAGCAGAATTCCTCCGTAAATACCACGTCATGTACTAACTGCATTAAGTATGGTTAAACGTGACCAACCAGTCACCTAGCAATGCAGAGAACTCTCTGTGACCTTGCACAGATACAACAGCAATCATTTCAGTGCTAGTTCAGAGGAAGGGCTGCAAATTTAATTTCATTTACAGCATTTAAACATAAATTATTATTTTGCACAAAATCTTCTCACTGCAGAGCCAGAGCAGAAAAGGCCTGGCAAAGATGACTGAACACATCCGCAATCCTGTGCTTTATTGCCCCTGTTCAGTCCAACACGTTAACTTCGCACGGGCAAAAGCACCTACCCCAGAGGCCACGAGCTGGGTCTATGCTCGGCCCGAGACGGCCCCAGTACCGGCCCCTGGACGCAGCTGCGCGGTACCCCCAGCTTTTCCCATTTGTTTCCCATCCTACAGGCACCTCCCAGTCGGTTTCCCGAGGCCAGCAGAAACCTCGAGGATACCTCAGCACCAGCCGCGTTTACCACTTTCATTTTACTCAGTTGGTTTTAATTATTTTCAAAGAGCAGTGGCTGCCTCTCTCTTCACACACACCTCCTGCACCTCCGGGA